CTCCCCCTGTGGTTGTAATGCCACTATCTGAAACATGCCTACCTGTTGCTATCACAGTACAGTCAGGAAGGACTGTGGAGGTATTTGCAATATATTACTAACTGTACTCAAAAGCTGGAGACTACTTCTGAGTCCCTGCCCTGGGCCAGTGGCTGTGCTGAAAGGAGAGCTCACCAAGTGCCTTCTTCAAGTGTGCACAGACCTTTCCCAAGCAGTTCCCTTCTCCCACTCAGTTTTACCCAGTGTTGTCCACAGAGCTCTGTTCCATAAGCGTGCCTTCAAGCAATGCCCATCCACAATCAGCAGGACAGCTGAGTTATGCAACCTGAGAATGTGCTCAGCTCAACACAGTCACCATCAGATGGGAAATGACAAGAATTTATTTGTACTTCCACATCTGCCAGCTTTTCACAGGCTAGGAAAGATCAACGAATCAAAGTTATTTTGTCTTAACAGAATTCTCACCACTTCTAGGATGCCAAGCACCTTAGATGGTTTGTATTAGCATGACTGCATTTCTGTCAGTGAAATAAGATGCCACCACTTTATAGCCTGGGTCACATAGGCAGAGCAGACCTCATGAACAATGAAGTATTTGTGTGAGAATAGCTTCATGCCACCCACATGACTGATGATATTATGATCTTAACTCATTTTACTCACATTTATACAGAAAGAGTTCTAGTTTCTCTTCTCTCCCCAAAATATACCACGTTATGATCCCAAATACAGGGAAAGCATCATGTAAGTGATGAGCATTTCAGTCTGCTTGCTGAGACAAGGAAACACAGCAAAGCAACTTCCCATATGCTGTGCAGGCAAGACAAAAGTGAGATCTATAGTAGGAAAGAAAGGAAAGCTAACTCTACAGTGAAAAATCTGGGGAAGTACACCATAAATATTTCTGCTTCATCCACATTCTGCAGTTTTTATCATCACTTCTTAGATAATTCAGCCACAAGTAAAACACACTTGCAGAAATATCATCAACGCTTAGGACTGAAAGTGCCACACCCACTGTTCTTCTACGGCTGTGATCTTCCTGTCACATTTTTCATTATTTTGCAGGCTACTCAGCCATTCTGTGTCCTTGTGTGCCTACAAGTTACAGGCCTTTGGCCTAATAAAGAACAGAAATAATGGGAGTAATGAGCAGGCTCATCTAGCAAAGAGATTCACTGAGTGTTAACTCAGATCTCACGGTGTTGTCTTTTTGTAAATTATTGACTCCACCTTATTTACATGAAAGTTCTCAATAGCTTATTCAAATGAGATAGGATTGCACTGTCATATCAGAAGAGATGTCATCGAGGTTAGACAGATTTTAAAAAATACTAGACATCCAAAACTTTCCATGTAGACCAACTCTCCACATTCTGCCAGATGCTAGATATTGAATAAACGAAACAACTGCCTAGAACAGCCACTTTGGAAAGAAACAAAACAAAAACAACCCCAGACCCACTTTAAATTTTATTATCCCACTGTGCTGTCTGATGGCAACTGTAGCTGATGCTTTTAAACATATCCTATTTCTCCTCAGCCAGCTGAACTTACAGCTGGACTTTGTCATGTTCAAAATGCAGCCGGCTTCTATAATGCTTCTCTCCGATGCAGGATGTGGTATGTCATGGAGATGCAGCCTTGTGCATGAGTTATTTTATTATGTAGTGGGAAGCAGCACAACAAGACGCGGGAACAGGAAGAGAAAACTGAGGACATAATCCAATTGCTTTCCACTTGTCTGACACTACTTGGCTGAGCCACAATGGGCTAAAGGCACAGAGAGAAGAATGGAAAAATAGCTTTAAACTTTGAAACCTTCATTGCTTTTAAAACAAAGATCTCTTGGATATGCTCAATTCAAACAGCTCAGATCAACAAATTTAGTCTTTTGAAAACTAACTTGTAGTTTTGTGTCTTCTCAGATGTTCCAAGGTTTGAGGAGTAAATGGAAAATGAAATAATTATTTGTTACAGAAGTGGACTGCAAAAAGTGGAAAGGAGTCACAAATTCTGCAGTGTGGCAGATGCCCTACAAGCCTCTCTTGGGATCCAAGACTGGGGGCAGACCAATCTGAAATGTGATTAAGCCATCTGCAGTTCTGGCTCTTGTGGCTCCGAAGTTATGAGTTATGAATCACAAATATGTTACTTAACCTATGATTTATTTTTTGTTTGTTAAAAGAAGCATTCAAATGTCTGTCCTAGTAGGAAGACAGATACTGAGCCTATGTATGTGCATTGAAACCTAATTTGAGAGCAGAGGAACTGCACTGAGTAGGTACAGAGATCTCTTCAAGAGAGATCAACCTTTCCATTCCAGGCCAAGGCTGACTCTGACCTCTCTCCTCTCCTGACTGACAGAAAGAATTGACACAAGGCAGATAACCTGCTACAAACCCTCCACTCCTTTCTGAAACAACATGTACCCCTAGGCTGTTAAATCTGGACGTGCACATGGTAAGAAATGGTCAGGAGTACCAAACAGAGCTGTTGTCAACTCCACTGGCTGGGGACAGACCTACACTTTGCTGTGGGCAGGTGCAGATGCCACCAGGTGTGCAATGTTTTACTACAACAAGCATGGTCAATTTTAAAATCAAAATAAAGATGCTTCAGTCACACAGACAGAACAGCTCAAGAAATATAAACAAGGACTTTCCATGCGGTACTTGTGCAGGACAAATGGACCCCCAGTAATAATATTCAAAATTATTATGTACAAATTTTAAGACCAAACTTTGTGAAAATACATAAAAAACACACTCCTTTGTGTTTGTACCCTTTCACACTATTGGCCATATCATTGCTTATCCCTACTGGAAGATGATTGTGAATGTAAATGCTACTTTTCAAAAATAAGAAAACAAGTTTATTTCTTAACTTTCCACTGCTGGATGGAACACAGTTGACATCTTCACTTCCAAAAATCCTAGAATAAACCCTCTGAAGCTGACAGTTTTCTTTTTATTGGCCTGCCTGCAAGATTTTTTTGTTTTCATTTTTACTAATCCATTTCTGATGTTTAGCTACTGAGAACATTTGAACTCCAGTAATACAACAGGATCACTATAAGTGATTTGTGTATCCACAAATTAAGTCTAGACAAGAATTGGCTCAGACTGGAGTTCCCTGTGCCCCAGGGTCACAACAACAAAAATCCCCTGTGCACATACATGAGAATGAGGCACAAATATTCTGTTCTTCAGGTAGGTGAGGCCATGGAAGCTAGTTCCCTTTAAAGGATTGTACATCCCTGGGGTCTGATGACTGGTAAAATGCTAGTGGTAATGTTATCTTAGTTGTACTTCTAAGTGAGTTGTCTGTTAAGCCCTTGGTTTCACCTTGTAAAATAAAATGGAGATTATGTTCATTTCATAGAGGTCCTAATCTTGAGGGTTTGTGGAGGCTTTTCACAAAAACATTCTGGTAGATTGTTTGTGTACTTTTATGTTAACACTGCAAGGAAAAAAGAAAGCATGAAAGTGAAGAGGAAGGAAAAACCTGAGAAACTGAATCTTGTGGCCTGCTGCTTACAATTCATAGGCATGAAACAGCAACAACAGCAGAGCTATTGCTTTGATCTATGTCCCTGTTAATTCCTCTTCCCATAATAGAACCACTGACATTTCACTGGTATTCAGATGTGATTAAAATATATTCTAATACCTATAAATAGAAATGTTGGTTCAAGTACTAATTAAAAGCAAATCTGGCATTTGGAAAACTGTATCAACAAAAAGTAAAAAGGTGCAGTAAACAGCAGCAATTGAAATGTTGTTCTTTTTTTTGTTTGTTTTTTTCTGAGAAAAAGGTAAACATCTGTTCTATCAATCTTTACATTAAGGTTTGGATTTCCAAGTCTTTCCAAGCATCCACACAGCAGCTTCAGCGTAAGAGTAACAAGACAGATTTTGTTCTCTCCTTCAATTCTAATAATTGCCACAAAGTTCCAGGAAATAACAGGGTAAGTCAAACACACTAGCTTTCAGCCACCTTCTGCATGGCAGTTTTTAAATAAGCAGGAGCCAAATGTTAAGTTCACTATATTCCTTCATTGCACAGTAGCTTAGTTGTATGTTACGTCATAATTAACCCTTGTTTTATACATATCCATATATATATATATATACACGCACATACACACAGATACACACACACACACACACACCTCTAGACTCCTTTATGTTCATCTCTGGCTTTCTTACCTCCTCCTGAACACTACATACTTGAAGCAAAGGCTGGTTGCAAGGGTGCTTTCAGCCACCACTTCTTCTGCATTAATTTTCAGAACTCTCCCAGCTCGAGAAAACCAAGGGACTTAAAAGAGTCCTCTCTGCACGTGGTAATAAAGATTTACTGGTTTGCCTCCCAAACATATAAAGCATGTTGGAGGAGGGATGCTACCCTTTATGATATCATATAAAGCATTGTTTTCCTTGGGGGCTATTAATGTCACTGGCACTTAGTAGAAGCAACTGCAAAAAACATTAAATTAAGGCTCCAAACCAGAAAACACTATAGTCTCTCAGGAAAGCTAACTTTCCTAAATCCTGAGTGAGACTTTGGGGCATACAAAGAGGAACATTATGAGCTGACAATGGGGAAAAATAATTTTAGACTATAACAGACATGATTACATTTGGAGACAATATCACAATAAAAACAAACTGGGCTCCACTACACAGAAAAACGTAGTGAAAAATTTAATGCTTGAACAAATGTGCTGACTAAGGTACATGTAAAATAGTTTGGACATCTGGGTACTTTACCACAGTACGCAAAACGCACCTGAACCTACCTACACAAAACACACAGAAATAAGAGTCCTTATGGCACATGAAGGTGCAACAATACTGGAGTTAATATCACCCAGTTTCAGATTCACACAAGAGAAAAAACAAACTCCAGTGAGCCTGGTTCCTCGTGGAACACTGTTATTCCTAGTCAACAACACAGTGGCATACAGTAGAGAGATTTGTTTTTATGTGACTTACCTCGGCATCTTGCTCCCGGAGCTGGTATGTTCTCTCTAAGCACTGCAGTATTCTAGGACACAGTGTCTTCTCCTCCAAGAGGAACTCCAGAAGTAAGACCAGCTGGTCAGGGAGAAGCTAAAAGAAGAAAAAGTGCCATGTGTGAATGAAGATCTCTACTGGCTGAGCAATGTAAATTGAAACAAACCAAAGAGGACAAGATTGTAATAACCTGCGTACCTCCAGCATGTGCTTTAAATACAACCTACACCTCTAGCTGGTTTCTGAAAAACCTCAGGGTTTATGTGTCTGTGTTCTGAAAGACTGTGCTGGGGCACAATTAGGACTCATTTTCCATGGTTTCCATTGCAATGGTTAGGTCAGATCTAAAACATGCTTATCTTTTTGAAATATAATCATGGCTTAATAAGTAAGATTTTTATGTAATGTATAAAATAAGTGATTCTATTTTGTTTGGGTTTGAAGAGAGAATATTTTACAGAGCATAATTTGAGGAATCAATGAGACACAGGTACATATAATTTTTAGAGTGGTGTTTTTATCTGATATACAAGCATTTGCATGATATGTTTACAGCGACCAAAGAAACACAACACAAGTAAGTGACCCACCAAACAATTGTTGCAAAAACACATTCTTATTCATATTTTAGTGCAATGAGTCACAAACCATCCATCCTTACATGGGAAATATGCATGAATGGCGTATTTGTGGCACATACAGTACAGCATCTACACATGGATATATATTCAGTAGTTTCAGTCAGTTTCTTGACTCCAGAACCTACAATTTTGAACTGGAACCTAATGTAACCTAAAAAAAAAAAAAGAAAGCACAAGAAGTCTGTTGTAGCCAGGGCTTAAGTGCTCTGTTTAATAGGCTTATTGGATGAACAAATAAATAATTCAAACACAGCTCAGAGAGAAATTGCACCAGCTGCCAGGAAAAAAAATCTCTTAGAAATTCAGGCTCCAAGGTGATCATTCAGAAGTTTGTTATATGTCCCAAAACTTTCCCCACTATTCATCACTGCAGGGCACCAGGGGAGGAAGGGAAAAGGGAAAAGAATGTCAGTAAGGCTTTTGCATACAAAAAGAAATCAACCTGCTCACTTCTAATGTTCTTGAGACAGACTAATGAAAAAAGACATCCTGCTACTTTGACAGTACTTCCAGCTTTCACCACATTTGGTGTTCTGTTCCCACCTCGCTACCTGCCCATGTCTGCTTTGCCGTGTCAATGCACTAAGCAAAGATGAAATGAAGTCAGCTATAGGAAATGCCTCTTCCAACAACATATCCCACAGCCAGGGCTGTTTATGTGGACTGAACAAGACTGGACTCCTGATCTCACACAGTAAGTCCATGAAGATACCCAGGATCTTCTGATCAGTCTTAATCTGTAAAATATCTACATTAATGACTAATTTAGCAACATGCCATTTTCTTCCCTTTTAGACTAGAACCTAAATCAGAATAAAGAGGAAAGAGCATCTCTATTATGATAATGTTTTGGTTTCTTTGCATTTTGATTTCTTTCCACTTTTTTTATTGGTAAAGTTGTATTCCTGAAGACTGAAAATACCTCACATCTTACTAGCTCTTAGTAAAACATTTTGTAAGTAATACCAAAGCCTGCCAATCACATGGTATTGTTAAAAGGAGTTAGGTATTTAAAAATATTGAATATTTCATTTCAGGACAACTACTAAAATGCCAGCTTAAATGCTTATGAGGGAGTCCAACAGCAGCTGCCAGGGGGTTGGTTAGACAAGTTAAAAAATAAATCAGGGAAATAAATCAGCTTCTGGGAAGTGACTCTACTTGGAAACTGAATTAATTCTGAACACTAATAAAATTCAAAATGTTGCAGAACACCACACAAAGAAAGGTAACTTCTGATCTAGACTGTTTTCACTGCTAACTGAAAGACAGAAGAACAATACTTAATTTGCAGAAGCTATAGAACAGTTGCTTGAATACATAGGTACAGAACAGCTGAGTATTTTATAATATATCTGCAGTATAATTGCTACACAGATTCACCCACAGAAAGCTATTGTTTAAGGTAGCATCACAGAATCTCACTGAAGCCAACAAAAGAGCAACAGCAGAGCAGCAGCCATGCCCTTATGTCTGTCTAGTGCTGCATCATGGCTGAAGTTTTTTCAGATGGTTAAACTCTGAGAGTCAGTAAAATAAACAAACAAAACCCCAATAAAACAAACAAATAAACAAACCCAAGCATTCGCTAAGTGTTTGGTCAGTGCTGTCAGGCATATGGTGTGATTACTGAAGTGTCTTGTACAAGGCCAGGCATTGGACTCGATGATCCTTGTGAGCCCCTTCAAACCCAGCATCTTCTAGGACTCTATGAATAAGACCACGGCTTCTGCTATTTTCCTACGTTTCAGCTGCCCAAGATGATACCTTACATACCAGTTTCTAGCTCGTGGATTAATTACAGACCAAGGCAGGAGCTAGTGAACACTGGCAGAGGGCGGGGCGCTGGCAGGGGAACGCTGGCTGGCAGACCTCTCCCCGCAGAGGCACTCGTGGGCACAGCTATTACAGTTTGTTCTCCAACTTGTTTCTAACACAAAAGGAGGAACATTCCCATCTACACTTTTACCCTTTCCTTTCAATAAAAGAGACTATGCTTAAAAACCCTAACTTAGGCCAAGAGACAGAAAACTGCAACAAGACATTCATGACACCAGCTGCTACAAAATTCATTTAGGGGTGCAGACATTTTCTTTTCCCCCCATACAACAATACAAGTATCATTCTCACAAAAGCAGTCTTTTAATGGTAATAAATAAGCTTCAAAAATTGCACTTGAATTTTCTCTCAGAAACCCCACTCTCATTGTTTTTTGTTTTCCCACGACCATTCTTATTTGTCCTGCCCACCTGTTACTTTCCATCTTTCATACCAGGAGAATTGTTTGGGGTGCATGTTGTTAATTTTCAATTTGTTTGCCTCATGCTTAATACAAAGAGGCCCTTGCCTTAAGTGCTATGTAAACATAAATACTGTAGAGACCTAAATACAAATTTCTTTTCAGGCACGGTATAACAACCACTTTCCTTTACAACAACTCAGTCTGCGAATGCATATTGAATATCTAACACCCACAGAAAAGTACACAACACAGATACACCAAGTTACAGCAGGATAATCATCACATTCTCATGTTGTCTTCAGGCTGAAAACATTCAGAAAACAACTGTAACACCATAAATGCAAAATTTCAGTGCTACCCATAAAATAAAATTAACGAAAATAAAATAAATAAAAAAATAACCCCCTCATACTTAGAACTAGAATAGAGAATCTAAATGTTCAAATATATGCAATTATGAAAGCAGATTGCTTCAATTAGGAAATGTGGTGAGGTTCAATAAATAGTTTTCATTACGTCAATAATTGCTGCAACAGCATCTATTTATACTGTAAAGTAGATAGTTCCTATCTCAAACTATGCCTGCTGTATGGAAATTATACTATTTTTCTCAGGGCTGGCCCTCCCCCAGCTGTGACTATGGACACTACAAAGATATAAATGAATATGTTGTGATCAAGCCCACTAGAGGTCTTCTGTCATGTCCCATGTAATTCAACACCATCCCCTCTATAAAGCTGTATCCCAGTTCTGTATATATTATCTTGCCCTTAAGACTGTAAGACCTCTCCTCCAACTCTTCAGCTTTCTGAAAGAGTTCACTGTCCTGCCACTAAACAACAATTTGTTCCCTGCTTCCCCTAAGTTACCTGATGTGGCGGCTTTAAAGTTTGAGTAAAGAGACTATTACCCTTAAAACAAACTGTAAATGATAGGGAATATCAAAACTGGCTCTGTGTTTGAAAAATGAAAGATGAATGAAATAAAGAAAACATGAACAAATTGAAAATATAACTGATATTCACTGTACTAAATCTATTGGAAGTAAGAAAAGCCTACTGTGTATTTTATTCATATTAGTACACAAAACACTTAAGCCATTATACTGTGTTACAAGAGTATCTTAATAGATTAGTAGGTTTTCTACAAATAATCTTTGAACAAAACTATGAATTTTCAAAGTACAGTCCCTAATGTGTAAAAAGCACAAAGAAAACAAATCTTTCCTCTTCAGAGATCTGGTATAGCAGCCATAGAGGTCATCAATCTCACATCCCAGAAGACCACCCACACGAAAGAGCGTATTTATCAATTCCTACATTAACAAACACAATAAATGCCAGATTCGCCTTTATACTAGAAAAAAAATTGCCACTGAAACATTTGACTACTGACCTTTCAGCCACGAAATGTGACACAGATACATCTACTTGAGTTGATCCACAGCACCAGCACTTGCACTGCACCCCTCTGCCAGGACACAAATCACTGAAGTTGTACAGCTGGTATTTTGTATATCCCATTTGCTCCTGCCTGCACTTGAATGAAGTCATTGAAAGCCTCCTTGGAGGGGAAATCTGCCTCAGACTAATGCAGCAACCGATTGACAGTGGCGTGATTTCTATTATTACTCCATTATCACACTGGGATCTGTGCCTAAATGAGCATACTTCCTCCCTGATGCCATTTCCTTTTATCCTGGCTCTAGTCTAAAAGTGGATCAATGGGAGTAATATATATGATGTCACTTCAATTTACAGCTACTGCCTCCCTCTCTTGCATGCACAAATAAATCAATTCTTCCCAAAAATGGTTAAAAAATGCACAGGGAGAATCTTCTCTGAGAAAAGGGTTCTCTGCTATATTTGTCTGTGTAACCACAGCAAGGAACTGTTTATACTGAGCAAAAAACAGGGGGGGGAAAGGAAAAAAAAATCACTACTGTGCACTGGAAAATGCTGGCTGAAATACAAGAAAAACAAGGCCTTATAGAGAATTAAAGCATTTGACCTTGAAAATTACACAGAAATGTTTAAAGTTTTTAAGGCACAGTATATTTCTCCTGTACTTGGTGGACAATAATCTTGTGTCCTATTCCCAGAACCAGAAAATGTATTTTCATTTATATATTTACAAAGTTTTTCCAAGTCAAACCAAATTCCTTCCCACTCCTCTCTTAGGAAAGAAAGGGAAAACCCCCACTCCATAGTTCACTTGTGAATGGTTCCCTTCAGAAAAAAATTGATCACAGAATCATTTAGGTTGGAAAAGACCTCTGATATCACTGAGTACAACCACTAACCCAGCAGTGCCACATTGACCACTAAACTATGTCTCTAAACACCAAGTCTACATGTTTTTTAAATACCTCCAGAGAGACTGACTCAACCCTGTGCAGCCTGTTTAATCTCCTCATAAACTGCAGTCAAGAAAGCAATGCTACTAGTCGAGGAGACAGGATTCATAGGTCCAGGCCATCTCTGCACTTCTACTTCACATGGTCAAAAAAATCCCTGAATGAATTTCATTTTATAAACTCTCCCCCACTGCCTTGAATGCTTTTTTCTGCAGGCTGCAACTAAATAAAACCTTTTGTAGAACACATCCCCTTATTCCTCAAACTGTTAGGAAAACTGGTTGCTTGAAAATTCAAAAAAGCACTGTATACTCAACCATGTTTTTAACCAGATATTGTCATTGTTTACTTCAATATTCTTCAGATGCTGATCAGCACAGTGACTTCTTTTAAATGAAAACAAGGCATGTCCCCCCCACCCCACTTCAAGGGCTAAAATGTATTCATATCAAGTAATATATGAATTCAATAAAAAATGTCCACATTTACCGTTGTTAACTAGGGTAGTGCAATATTCTTGTGAGAAAAGATTAATTCTGAAAGAACTAGTCTCCTGTTTGATTAATATGCAGGGGGAAGAAGTATTCTGCAGCTGACATATTTTTTGAACCGGTTTGCAAAATAAACCCCATCTTTGCCACAGGCTGACAAAATTTCACAAGCAAGTAGTGAAAAAGACAGTTCTGCTCAGCTTCATTTAGGCCAGTTTATTTGGCTTCTCTCTTGATGAAAAGTCAGCTCCTCTTTCAATGTTTATGAAAGATAACTAGTCCTCACTATATTTAAAAGCAAAATATCTCTGTCTGTAACACATTCTCGTCTACTTATGAACTGCACTTGTATGACATCTCTTCCCACTCTGTGTGGTTTTTCTGTATCTGTTCAGTTGGCTCTTTCTATGCTCAGCAATTCATTTTTGAACGCAACCATTTTAAAAACACAAACCAGGGATTGCACCTGGTAATTACAATGAAAAATATATTTCTGTGAATTCTGCTTCAAAAAGCAATAATTCCAACAAGTTCATCAGCATTTCACTTGTGCTATACTTCAAAATGGTTTTTCTGGGACATTTATATCTGGCATCACCTACATCTTACTAGTAGAACATAAAAATGACACAGACCAATTTATTTAATAAACAATTAAATGCACTGGCATTTTGCTCCCACTTACTTTCCTCCTTATAATATCAAAATTAAGGCTGTTCTTTGAAAGCAGATAAGCTCTGTCAGGAATAATTTTAAGGCTGATACCTACTAAAACACAAAGGTTTGGTTTATTCTGGCCACAAATATGGAAACAGTGCTGAATGAAGGACACCGATTGCTGTTTTATGTTCTGTGTCTGATATTCTGGTTACACATTACCGGTAATATTTTTTAAAGGCCAGCCATTGCTATCAGTCCATAAACTGGAACTTTTTCTCAGGCTTTAATATGAAGTATTTTCCCATAATTTACTTAATGGAGAGAAGATCCACTTACAAAGAAATTCAACATCTACAACCTAACATAAATGCACTGAAATGTCAAAAATGATTAAACCTTTATGATCTAACATATTGCTGAGCCAGCAAAATGAAAAACAGGTGGCTTCCAGTACAGGTTCAGTCATGTTATGCAGTGTTTTTCTCAACCTTAGCTTTCTCAAAGAAACATTTCACTGTAACTTTACCCTCAAGCATAATAATTCCCTTTCAAACATAATAGGCTACACATTCTCTATTCTATGCAGATTACTAGCTCTGCCAGTTACTATCATGCTTCCAGGATGTGCTGCTCCTTCTTTCAGATGAAATGGCCACACACCAAGAGAAAATGGACACAGAAAGCCAAATTCCACATCTCAAGACACACTTCACAGACAGCATTACTGTGACACAAACCAAAGCTGATGTTGGCAACAGCAAGATCTTCAGTCATCCCTTCACTCGATCTCAGGAGTCCCCAGCAGCTCAGATGAATTATCAGAATATCAGCCCTGTGATTAGTGCTCACCAGCTGTAAGCAGCTTTTCTCATCTAACAGCACACCCAGCAGAGGCACTTCAGTGAGCTATTCATCTAACTGCAAAGAAAAGAGCCAAGAAGACCATTTGTTTTATTTTTCAGATTCTCTGACTATTACCTATTAGAGGATTCACAGAAAAGACCACCAAGTCTTAGCAATTGGTGGAAAGATTTCATACACACATTGTAGCAGATGCTGAAGTGCAAGTATGTGCCTCCTAATCTGTCCACCCAAAACAGTGTAGGTCTCAACTGCTCCAAATCACGTGCTTAAGCTGATCAGTGGCAGTATAAACCATCTCACCTTAAATTACCAACATCTACATCCTCTGAAACCAGCCGGCTATCAATGGTCCCTGAGACATTAAAAGGAAGTGACAAACTACAGCAGACACTGAAAAATGAAGAGCTGAAGAAGCATAATGATGGAATATGAGCCACAACCATCAGTGAGAACACCCTCAGCACCCAAACAGATTTCCTTTACTCTTCCTTTACTTCTACTCTAGAAGAAAAAAGACAAAAACCTGAGAGCCTAAGAAAATTAACTAAATTTTCTAGCAAATTACTGGGCAAGTACCCTCACCACCCAGTACTGAAAATGAAAAATCCTATCTCTGGAAACTAACCCAGGAAGTTAAGATACCTCTTCAGTATGAAATATTTTTACAATAGAACTTAGCAAGGGAGAGCTTGAAGAAGTATAATCCTTTTCCTTGAAAGTTTGGTACACATTTGGCCACTCCTGGCAAAGAAATTTTTTCTGCCTATACCTACCAAAGCAAGACTCAGTCAATGCCCAGAGTTCAGATAGGATTGTCATCTTCAAGGAATTCACTACAGGTTTTCCAACTCTCTTATCGTGTGGTCAGCTCTTGGGGAAATCTCAGCTTATTCACCAAAACACATTCTTTTGTGGTAAATCAAGCACAAGCATCTATTACCTACTAGATGTCCCAAACAGCTGGAATTCAGAGAAAGAACCTAAAGAAGGAGAGAGAAAATAACTTTTCTTGGTCTTCAAAGCTTTCACTAGCATGGCTGTGCTGAAGGAAGTTTTATCAATTCCACTCAGCTCATGCTGGAGCTGCAGGATACACCACCACTTCAAGGAGGGCTGTCTGAGATTCATCATAAAGCACTAACAATGTCACAAGCCTTCCAGGACGAAAGCATTAAATCACAGATGGGAACTTGCACTTCCATCTCTTAACGCTTTACCACTGGAATCCACAAGAATAGATTTTCTTTTCTACTCTTTTTGATTTCAGAACAACAGGTAATGAGGGCTTTCATATTTAATGATGTCACGTATCTCTTAACATTTGTAGATAAACTGCATTTCCAGAGCTATATTTTCTTCAGATCTGCAATCTGGCTCTGGTGGACTCTGTGTCCAACACAGCCTGTGCATACTCACAACATTTTTTCAATACACCACATCCATTTGATCCCTTTTTCTTTTAGAGTAATTTTCTTGTTTGCTGGTTGGTTGTTGTTTCGGGTGTTGGTCTTGGGTTTTTTTTCATTTGTTGAGAATACAATTGACCAGACTGAGTGAACACCAGTTTCAGAAATACACACATACCGCCAAGAAAGTCTTAATCACAGACAACCTTAAAACACATCTAGTTCTAACAGTCTAAACCTAAGAATAGGTGCTGCTGAAAACCTAGAAAAGCAGTATGTAGAATTTACAGTCATGAAACTGTCCCCATTGATCAAAGATGCAGAGATGCCAATCCACTGCCATCAGCTTCTAGAATTCTTCTTTTAACTAAGGTCTCACAATGGCCATGACTAAAACTATCCAGTTGTCTGAAAGAACTCTTTCGCTGTGGTGGAAAGTCATCTAGTTCCACAGCTGCTGTCACTTCTCAGCCCAACTGCCTCATCATCCCAAAAGGAAGCCTTTGGCACTTTAGAAGAAAACTGGCACTGAACACTGCCCCATGACCAGCAACACAGGTTACCATATGGTTACCTGGCTTTCAAGGTTTTTGTTGTGTTTCCCACCACAATACTCATAAAATCAACCACTGCAGACTACACTGATGACTCTGAGGCAGCTGCTGCTGACTGCTGCCCACAGATCACAGGTGACAGCCAGGCAGTTCCTCTGCTGCACAACTCTTCACTCAAAGCACAGGTGACAGCCAGGTGACAGCCAGTCAGTTCCTCTGCTGCACAATTCTTCACTCAAAGCACACTCAAGCTTCTTGAAAAGGCTTTCACTGAGGATCTTTTCATCGTTGCAAAACTT